TATTCATAAAAAACACACCATTGTTTCTTAATCACCATTTCCTAAAATACAGTGCTGGATTAAAACGTTATTAAATATAATAAATGCAAACTTGTTAAATTATGTTTTTATTATAGACTGACATATTCAACAGTTTTTGGATAAAATGCATGCTTAAAATAAGGAGAAAAAACTTAATACTGCTAAGCATTTCTATTACTTGGCAGAAAACCATCAGTACCATCACAAAAAACATTGACACCTGCAATAAACCTCATTTCCAAAACCAAAATAGTCACTAGCTTCTATGACTTCAAAAGTAGGTGGAAGATGAGACCAACAATCCCAAATATTATACAGTCAGGAGTAACACAGCACTGATGATAGAGTAGACCCATAATCTAAAAAGGCTCTTGCAGAAGTGTACATAAGGTAGAATAGAACAGAGCAGCTCCCTGTAACCACATTTATAGAATACCAGAATTCTGTACCAGCTTGTGTATTTGCCTAGTTAACTGAATCAGGTCATCTGCCATGCCAAGAAATACAATCCATCAGGATTATCCACAGAAGAAAGATCAGAGAGAATAAATATCAAACTCCAGTATCCGAAACCAAGCAAAGCATCTAGTCCAGAAACTAGGCATGGATTTTTTGGAGCTCCAGGCTGTTTCTTTCCATTTCTTGGGCTGATTTGATCAGGCTGGATTGGTCACCATGAAAATGATCTTCATCTTGGCCATTTAAAGCAATTTTAGTCAACATTTTGACAAAAAAAAATCATTAATAGGATAATCTCCCTTGGTGCCTGCTGGCATAACAACAATATAAATCAGATTGGTGGCTTCTGTCCTCTAATTCTTCCAGAAGGGATTTAAGCACAGATATCTGCAGTTCTGTAATGCTGTTAGGGTTTGGATCCTGAGCCAGTTGGAGAGCGTCCACCCACTTACATTGTCAACAGAACAGCTGCAATCCTGTTTTCCAGTTGCTGAATACAAGACTAGATGTTCCCCAAAGTGGTGCAGACAGCTTTATCACCATCAAATGGTTTTCAGAGGGTACTCCATAATATCAGTGAAGCTGTGCATCAGAAAGGAATGGTGCCATTTTAATTTTTGGTAAGGGGATGTACAGTACTGATGAGAGGGGGTGTGGCTGTGAAGACTACCTTAAACTGAGTATTGAAAACAAAGGGCAGCAAGTGTGGGAGGTCTTGGTGTTAGCTGCCATCCTACCCACATTGTTTAATGACTACTCAAATTGCATTCATGCTCAGTTAAAAGTACAATGATGCATATCAAATTGACCTGATTAGTATACAGTAGCAATCTGTATCCTATTACATACAATTTAATTTTATTGAGTAGTGATTTACATTGATCTTTAAGACTTTTTCATATACAGTTGTGTTTCTAATGGGAACACCTTGTGCAACCAGGGTTTCATTTTTTCCCTTCAGAAGACTACTTCCATCCCCAGTGGAATACTGTAACTATGCATAAATATCTGCTGTACACATTTCTGTAAAGCCCACTGGCACATTGGTGTACAGGGAGATATAACAAAGACTGATAGATCACTTTTGTATGTGAATAGCAATGTAAGCACATAAGCTAAAATGTGCACTCCCCAATATTCTATAACAAAATGACACTCAAGCTTTTTACTTGAACACAGAATAAGCTAAAGAGCAGGACTGCTTTGATTTAAAATAACTTCAAAACCACATCACATACTGTATTTCCTGTATCATGGATTTATTCCTTGTATTTTATTGACTGAATTTGTCAAGCCTCCTGGTGACATCACAAATAATCAAACTGTTTTTGGAAGGAGAAAATAGCTTGAAAGGGTTTCCTCATCTCTTGGATCCCTTTCAAACAATTGTTTCAAAATAAGTGTTGTGTTCCCAGGGCTTTAGTTCATTAAAATACTGACAACAAAATGAGTATTAGTGGTCAAATCACCTCCTGTAGTTTGTAATCTTACACTATATTCCCTATAATATTTTTTTTTTTGCCAGGTATCGTTTTGCTTATCACCTCTTGCCAAATAAATGGGTAGTAGACAGATGTCCCAGATTTTGTGTGTAATATTGATTAGGTATTAGTTTGGTGCTTTATAGGACTTTGGGGGAAAGGGATACATTTTTAAAAAAGTGCCACACTATGATGGTTCGCACTGACATAGATAAAACCAGAGAGGTCTCAGCATTTTCAATTGGCAATCAAGCACTGAATCAAGATGCTGTTCAAATTAAAAACTGTGAGACTTGCTGATTAAAAACAGTTGGTTTTTGTCATCTATACAGTTTGTACAGTACATATGCAGTACATACTGTATATACAATGTGTACAGCCCAGATGGGTAGATCTATACATGTTTTTACATCTGAAGCATTGAAAGCTTTTGATTAACAGTCATAGAGCACTTTCACACTGATAGCTCAGTGGACGTTTATGCCCAGTACATCATTATGCACTCTGTATTCTAAAAGCCATCTCAGAGCATAACCATGTACTGCAGGCAGACAGCAATATCGCACCACATTAGCTCTGTGTTGTAGGGGTTTAAAATGCTCTAAGCTGTCCTGGGTAATGACATCTCAACAGCCTCATCTTACATGTTACAGTACGAGACCAACTGCATCATATACAGGCAGCTAATATTACTTACAATTTGTTCAATGATTAGAAGTAGGGAGGCAGGAAAACAGTCTGCGGCTAATGCTTATGTTGTGGGATTGTGCTTGTTGTGAAGCTGAGAGAAGTAAAATCCTGTACCTCATAGATTCTGCATGTTGTGAGGCTTTTCAGTGTTCACAGGGCAACTATTTTGGTCTTGCAAGACTCTGGAAAGCAAATGATATGACGTGTGACTTACCATCAATTTACAGCCAAGGATTCTGTCAACCTGCTCTGAAACTAGAGCAAGACTCCTTAGTGGGAGTATTAATACCAAATATATTTTTCAAGGTGCTTGTATGAAAGAAGAATCATCAGTTAAACCATAGCCCAACCCAGATCCAGTGATTAATGTTGATTTTCATTGATGACTCAAAATGTAAAATCTAATTGAGTGTTTCTGGAACATCATTGGCTATGATGCTAACATCATAGAGTTAGCGTTCCTGCAGTACTAATACATTTTATTACTCTCAGTACTAGATTTTGGGGCCCAAGTGAACTTTAGGACATGTGATAATTTGCTTGTATGTTGATTTTTTTTGTGAGAATTTCACCTCCTTGCTGGAACTAAGGTGATTATGGTAACTAGGACTATGGTAACTAACTTTTTAGAACTAAGTTTTTATTAATTTGTTGTGAAATATACCTTTGTGATTTATATGTAAGATGGCCTGAACTCACAGGACGCAGAAGTGATTAGTATGTACTGTATAGTATTTTGTACTAATTTGGAGGTTGATTTAATTTCTTAGAATTTATATTTGCTTACTGGCTTACAGCAAATACAGAGAATTCCTAATGCTTTGTACAAATCTTTCACCGTAAGTTTTGTAAAATGTTTAAGACTCACAGAGCTCTAACATTCTAACACTGGAAAAAGATGCACAGAGATATATTCTCATCAGTTAATACAGTATACAGGTATACAGAATATAATTCAAGCTTGTGCACACAGCTTATTATTGCACTCAGGTTCTGAAACCCAAGGTTTTACTTTTTTTATACAAATGTTTTACATTTCAAAAGGCTTGGACTTTGACAGTTTCATTGAAATATCCTTATTAGGAAGCTTGACCAAGAAGCAAAGCTGAAGAATCCAGGGTTACATAATGTCTGAAACATTAGTACAAAACATAATAGTAATTCAAAATATTTTTATCGGTAATTATTTACTAATTAAATAATATTTTAAATAAAAACAATATTCCTTAAAATACTAGATTAAGATATACAATATATAATAGTAAAAATATTCTAACATATTTTAGTCTAACTTCAAATATTACTTATGAAAGGTCTTAAAAGAACGTTTACAACACAAGAGAAAACACAAGAGAAGACTGAAGGAATATTTCCCTGCAGCTAGAATTTCCTCTATAATGTTATATAAAATATGGATAATATTAATAAAATACATATATTAATAATTTAATCCAAGTTTAATGCTTGAATTAGTGTTTTACAATTGGTCTTTTACCAGTGAGCTAATTAATGGCCTTTTCCATTCCACAAGAAACCTTTACACAGTGTGTACAATATTTTTATGGATGGTACAGATCCCAAAAGTAGGCAGAACCAATCTCATTACCCGCAAAGAGCTGTAGGGTGTGTACTACACATTCAAACTTGGATCTAACTTGGATCACTATTAAATTACTATTAAAATGCGTCTACAAGGTTATCACTAAACACAAATAACAAATTCAATTATTTTTGTACAGTAAATATAAAAATTGTTCATAATTTATGTTATGAATTACAGTTCAATAACGATCTATGTCACAGGAATAATTAACTTTTGATGCATACAAGAATCACTTATTAAACCTCCCAGATGGCTGGGGATTTCCTTGAAAAGTATTTGCAAATTAAATCCTTGTTCAATTTCTCATGCTCATTGGCCTTGCTAACCTCCCTTCTGCAAGTCAATTTACATAATCTTTTGTGTTCTTGCAGGTTTCAGGGGTAGCTTCATTATACAGTACCTCTTTGCTTAATACAGTATATAGTATCAACAGATACAGTGCAGTAAAATCATCTCTACAAGCAGCATATTTGATAGAGATTCTAATTAACCCAGCCAGCATGTCTTTGGGAGGTGGCAGTAAATCAAGAGTATTGAGAGAACACCTACACAAAGAGGGACATGAACATGCAAACTCCACGCAGAAGTTGCCCCAGACAGAAAACAAACCCAGAATTTAAGAATTGCTAGCACACTGCAAGGAAAAAATTCAAAATTCAAGTAATATAATATCTTTAGCAAACATGTCATCTGTTGACTACAGCTTTTAACTGTGTTTTTTTTTTAACTGTGTTTTTTTTTTCCAGCGGTGTACCTCTGCAAAAGAACAATGCAAAACAAAGCACGTCTGGAGCTTGCAGACTATGAAGCAGTAAGACCGTTTTTCAATCCAGTCCGTTGTCAATTGAAAGACTGAGCAAAAATGACTAGAATTATGGATGAACAGCTGCTGCCCAACAGGCTCTGTACTGTAGGTCATCCTTAAGTTATAAGTTTGTAAAGACTTGGAAAACACATGAGTTTTGGTCAATTTAATGTCTTGTGGTTCAAATCAGGAAGAAGTTGCCACCCACAATCCTTGAGAGCTGCACAGTTTTGGGATTTGCATTTCACATGATCTCTAAACTACCAAATTTAATAACTCAATTTGAATAGTCACTCCAGTAGTAAAAAAAAACTATTACAAATTGGTGATTTAAGGGCAACCAATAAAATCTGTTGGAGTTCAGCTTGTCCTAATTCATAATTGTCAGATGTTCCTTGGATTTGAAATCAATTACAGTTCTCTATGCTTGAAGCAAAAAGGATATTTCTGCACAGCAAAATACACATCAAGATTCACTGTTGTCTTAAAACAAAATTGCAGTGGGACATTGCCATAGAATTGTTTTTCCATAAAGGAAACGTATTGGTTGAAAAGAGAAGGACAATACAAACTAGGACTTTTACACAAAATATTATTTATGTGTCTGAAATGGCATATCCCCCTGCAATAATCGATAATACTACTGTACCTCTATAAAGCTGTACATTGTAACAAATCTTGCTCAGGATACTGTTTGTCTGATATACATTTTTTGATGAATTGTGTATTTTACATTCTGTAAAGTTATGCAGAGATTGCGTCCAGACATGTTTAGTGACCTTCTGCGTAGTTTCCGAGGCAGACAATACTACACCAAGCCACTGAGTCGCTTGGTCTTTGGGGGAAAAAAAACACGACAGGAGAATAGTGAATATGATGTGAGTTTGTTATATTTTTAAAGGACATGTTCCCACATCTGACCCTTGTATTTCAGGAGAGCTTAGCAAGGCTACAGAGAGCATTTGCTCGAAAATGGGAATTTATATTTATGCAAGCAGAAGCACAAGCAAAGTAAGTGTGACTTTTGAAATGCTGGAGTGTGCATATATTTTGATGGATGCTCTTTATATGGTATTAAGGACCTCTCAATTAATCAACTTTAAGGATGCTAAGCCCTTATGATGTACTGTAACTCAATCTTTTCCATATACTGTATAAACCTGTCTTCCACTTTATCATTGTTTTTGAATTTGTAAATCGCACTGCAGTATATTTCAAAGATGTCACACATGGCAGAACATGAGATAATATATTTAATACAATCCAGCAAGTCTAAAAATATTATATATAGTATTTTATGATTTGGAATCACTGCTTTTTGACAAAATGCATATTGATATTCAGATGATTAAAATACCAGAAATATTTAACCTTCTGTGTTATTTTTCTTCAGTATAGAAAGTCAGGTTACCTACAGTACAGTACAGTATATTCAATTTCAATTCTAACAAATGTTTAAATCTTTTGTTCTATAGAGTTGACAAGAAAAGAGATAAAATTGAAAGGAAAATACTTGACAGTCAAGAAAGAGCATTTTGGGATGTGCACAGACCAGTTGTAAGTACAGTAATTCTCATTTGACAATATGTTTTTAAGAAGAAGAATGAAACATAATGAAGAATCATAATCAATAGTAGAGTGATTGTACTATATTTTACTTCATCAGAAAATAGCAATAATGTATTTTTCATTTGCTTTGCCTTAGTAGCAAAGTGATTTGATATTGCCAGGAAATTTCCCTGATACCAATTTCTATATAAAACAAATCAAATTTAAATCACTCTCACTCATTAGGGATGTCACAGTTTCTTTTTTTCTTTTTTCTTAATAATTTTATAACCAAGAAGATAAAATCATAGATGAAACAAATATTTTTGTACAGACTATACACAATTCTCTTTGTACACTTGGCATGACTTTACAGACCCAATGGGTTTAAGTAAGTTTTCTTAAATTAACAAGTCACATGCAGAATGATTCTATGAAGACAACTGTCATTTCATATACAAGAATGCATCCAATTAGAGCAAGAAAGCTAAACTTTGCAAGGTATATTTAAAATGCAAATTAATGTCTACAGATATGAAAAACCCTGCTTATTTTATGCAATTTAAATACAGTGACTACTGTATATCAACAAAGGATTCAAGTGGTAAATACAGCTTTGCTGTTGAATCCTGTACATCTAACTCAAGTTTGTGCTTTTGAATATGACTCCCATTCATATTCACTTAAGCACTGTTTCTCAGTTCCGAATAGCCATAAGCTAGCTTCTAGTAAAATGAGTATCCCGTGATCCAGTTGTTTGTCAGATGTCATCTGCTAGCCACATGACCTTCACGTGATCTGAGTTGCTAAGGTGACCAGACCTCTTGCTGATTTTTAACTGATCCTTTTCTTATTGACCTGCATAACCTTTTCCATGGGTAAACCATTCTGAGTATCTGAAAAGAGGATGGGAATATCATACCATACCCTCAAGCCTTCAGGGACCCTTTTTGGCTGAATGCAACCTTATTGACAAATCTACTGTAATGCTGGTGTACCATTAATAAAGGGGGGCTTTATATAAAAGAAAACACCATAGGCCATTGCAAATGTGAAGTATTTGTCAGAAATGAGCTTCTGACTAAATCCTCTTTTTATTTTACAAATACACTGGCTCTTTAAGAGCAATGATCAGGCTCATTTTTTCCACCCAGTATAGCATCTTGCTTAGAACAGGAGCAAAGAATTGCTTGGGATCCTTGAGGAATTATCCAGTGTAGTGTCTGAAAATAGACAGCATGTCCTGCCTGTTTTTGTTCAGTACTCCTGTCATCCTTTCCAGCAGCTGCCGATGTCAATACATCAAATTTAAGATGCAGGAGTAACAGCAGGAACAATACGTTATTTCTCCGTATTGAACAATAAAACACATTTTGAAAAGGTTTCTCTCAGTGAATAAGGCTTGTTATTGATTAACATTAGGGTGGTTGCAATTTGACTGAGATGCCGCCACTTCTATTATGTGATGATAAAAGCAAAGAACATAACTCATAAATGTGATTTATTTCAAATAATTAAAATAGTGGTAAACAAAAGGAGCTAATAGAGAAAAAAAAGATGATTGAACCACATCAAGGCCACTTCTGTTCTGAAAACAGTTTCTACTGTATCAAAGATATGTTATAGTACTAGTAACATAAGCCATTACATTGTAACATTTTGCAAAGTTTATATTTACTTTTCAATTAATATTTGAGTCTTTTTATGAATATATTTTTGTGTTAGTGTGGACCATAAATACCCAAATATAGAAACTGGAAAACCTCTATCTTTTATACTGTATATTTCTGATTTTCAGTTTGTCCATCCATCTGTTGGACTCTCTGTAGGGCAGTGCACTAAAAGCATGTTGTGTAAAACTGTAATTTTCTGGCATTAGAACAGATTTTCATGTGCTAAGCATCACCATCACCAAATTAGTAGTACCACATCTTTGTTTATTAGCTGGTCTACTGTACAGTTACAATCATTAACACACAGTAGGGAATAGTGCATTAGTGTGTAGTCAGTGTTATTTTAAATTGGTTTCCCTTTTCTAAAAGACAGAGTTTTATGCTGTAAATTGGTGAGGGAGGTTCCAATTAGAATGTGTTAAATTTCAAAAAGAAATTCAACAAGGTTCTATTATTCAGTCAAATAGGTTTTAAAATAAAAAGGTGATAGCAGGCGCTTAAAAGAACAGATGGTGAAGATGGGCCTTGTTTGATGTGTTAATTGACAAAGTGTAGCTGTGGGATGGGCTGCTCACCTGTTTCTACAAAAGATAGATAGATGTGGTTTTCAAAAAGGTATAATATGAACAATACTTTTTGTACTGTAGACTCAAAATACAGTATATTAAACCCACAACTCCTGATGTGATAGCAAGATTAAAGGCATTTTAAATTTGGTGCAATTGAATGTTTTCTTAAAATGATCACAATAACTGTATAAACTGACATTTTGAGAAGAAAAAACTTTTAATAAATCTGATGATTTAATAAATTGATGTTTAATGCAGCTGGATTTAAATATGGCTTTATTAATCCTTCAGGTCTATAAGCAATGTCAACATTGATCTGCTTAAAGAGGAGGATAAAACTGATTTTGGTGATATTTTTGAGCGTCTTTGAGTCTTTTCCCTAGTAATTACTAATAAACCTTGGTTTCACAAAGCTGAATATTGCTCAGTTGTAGTTTCCTTTTCTGTTTTTAATAAATATCACAAAATGGGAATGTTTAATAGTCAGGGAATAAACCAGGCTAAACAAAGAAATAAAAGGAACTTAGTCATTTTATTCTTTTGTAGGTTATGTCTTCAGCAGAGCACACTGAGTAGATTTGATACATTAAATACATGATGCAGAAAAAGGGTTTTTAATAGGATGTAATAGCATACTAATACTAATAGGATGTACTGAAGTATGTCTGTGTATTACTCAGACTGATGCAGGCATAGCAAGTAACTTAACTGGTGTTTATTAATATGGTCACAGTAATTATACTTTACCAGATATTCTCTACAATGTTTTTGGTGATAATTTCTACTGTCATACACCCCCTTAGAAATTTCATCACATTTGTATAACATTTGCCTTTACTGTATAATTTTCTTTTTTGCATCAAGATTAATTACTGGGGAAAGGAGTACCTTGCCGGAATGTTTTTCCTCTAGATTGTTGAACCAGTTTCTGCATGAGTGCCGCAGAGAATGATGACATATTTCTGAAGCCAGATCCATTACATGGACTAAAAGCATTGTCATTTAGCACTGCAGCGCAGTAACCGCAGGGCACTGGTACATAATAACTCTCAAGTGCTATTTTCTGATGCCTTTTTGGATTTGTTTCAGAAAGTTTGGAATTCTCAAAAAGATCATTGTACTGTAATTTCAGTGGTACTTTCTTTTTAATCAATGTATTTTACAATGCATTCACCAAATAAGGTTTACCTTAGTTAATTAAATTGTGGGTTAATACGTGTCAATTAACAGTCATTGACATTGCAATATTTGTGATGCCTAAGTCATGTCTGGTTATGCTGGAAATAAAATTAAGTACCGTATCTGTTCTTTTCTAGTCTCTGAATCAGGCAAAATACTGGTTTGGCAACAGCACTTAATTATTGTTAAAGACAAAAACCCTTCAATTGCAATAACAACAACTCACCTTACTTCTGTAGATTGAACATGGAGAGGCTTGTGCTAAATAACCCTTCATGCATTTATGTAATGTATGGGAACTGAGTGCAAGCTTTGTTGTAATCAAGGACGTGAAGATTTATCTCTTGTTTGCCCTATAATAGTCATGAATATAAAGCATACTAATGGCTAAGGACTATCAGTTTCAGTCAGGTCCCCATGAGACATTTTACATATCCTTCTGCAGATGGTGGATTATTAACAAGCTAATATAAGGCCCTGCACTCACATAATGTAAGCAATTGGGATGCGCTACAGAAATAATTCATTCTCATTTGCAATTGATCTCCTGGACAGTGCTTCAAACTGTGTGCAAACTTTATTACTTCGAGAAAGAAACTGGACCGATTTATTTTGGGGGGCTAGAATCCAGAAAGTTGCAGCTTGGAATATCTCTGTGCTACTGTACCTTCTGATGTCAGATCACATTGCAGCTCAGAGGCGTGTCTAATATCTTGAAGGGCTTCCACTCATTTGATAATAGGAATTGTAATATATTGCAGCTTAACTGTTTTTATGTACGTTTGCAATATATCTCCATTTATTGTGGAAGAAATAATTTCAGAGCAGGTTTTGAGCCTACAAAACACAGTAAAAACATTTGCCAGTGGCCTTACAGGTACTGTATACAGTCATGTAAATAGAGAATTTATCATTAGTACAAGTGCTGGAAACAAATAAAAGGTATCTTTCCATCTTTTGGGAAGCCGCACTAAGAAGACTCATTTTTAAGATTGCTAATATGGCTAGTAGTGATTGATATAATGTGATTTGAACTGCCCTCTAGTATAGCTGAAGTTTTTTTTTTCCACTGGATTTTCTAAAGATTTTTATTGGAAGTTCAGAACATGACCTTTATTATACAGTGTATAAGACATAAAAAAGCATGTGCTTTACTTATATTAGGTTTTAGAAATATGACATTATTAATGTTCCAGTGTGCCATATCGTGTCTGGTTTGAACAGGCTCTGAACATAAACCCATTTCATGAAAGAAAAATGTTTTAAACCAAATTGATTTGCAGTTGTGTTAAACTACACTGTCACAAACACCAGTTACTGACCTTGTTTTGCAGCACAGACAGTTTGATTCATGGGTTGTCTCCTTGTTTTAGATTGTATCCTTATCAGTAACTCCTGTACAGGCATACACTCCATCTGCCTGACATGATCTGTTATGAATTTCATAAACTAGCTTTGATAAACTAGTTACGGGAGCTGATGACTCATTGTTCTTGCTGTTTTTTTTTTCTAAGCAGTATTTGAATTAAGTGTAAAAAAGAAAAACATGCTTTTTACAGTGTTCACACAAATTGCAACACCGATTTAAATTGAAATGATCCTCTTTATGCTTTGTTATAAACAGCATTAGAGAAAACGTATTTCAACAATATGAATATTTCAGTAAGGTGTTTGTCAATCTTCAAAATCATTCCTATGAACATAAACATATTTGGAATTATGTACATAAAAAACTTAACTAGTTAAGGCATCAACCTGGAATAAGGAAGCTTCTGATTATACTTGAAATATTACCACCTATAACCTTAGAATGGTCATATTTTAATAACTCGATTTGTTGCCTTGTGTTTTATTTTAGCCTGGTTGTGTAAATACAACAGAGGTTGACATAAAGAAATCCTCAAGAATGAAAAACCCTCACAAAACAAGGAAGGTAAGTCTTTTCTCTTTTTGCCAGTAGCCCAAAAGCTGTATATCGGCGACATGGCAGTTTCAGACTAACAGAAGTGGATAATCTTAGCTGAAGTGAATGTGATACTGTGAAATTGTTTTGTAGTCTGTGTACGGATTGCAGAATGACATCCGAAGCCACAGCCCTACCCACACACCTGCAGCCGAAGCAAAGCAGCCCACAGCAGAAGAGCTGCATGACCAGGTAAGAGCTGCCCTGACTGTGCTTGTGCTAGTGCTTGAGTCCTTAATCTGTTCAATGATTGGATAACTTTTGGTCATCATTAACTCAGAGTAACAATTACCTGCTAGACTTCGAAGATCACCGGAATAATTTGCATCACTTTACATAAGAACATTAAGAGAAGTTAAAAGGGAACTGCAATGCTATTTTTATATTTTGGGGTTGGAAAGAATTTACATTGCTGAGTGCATTTCCAACCAAGTAAAATGTACACAGAGTTTGTAAAAAACGTCCGGTGATGTGAAATGACCTTATTACATTGCAATGAAGCAGGCTTGTGAATACAGTACTTCTCATTTAATCCAACAGAAGTATTGCTCTCAATTTGGAGACAAAGTTTTGCTGACAAATACAGTATGTTGGAACATATTTGACATATCTTGTTGGAAGATTTTTGTGGAGAAATGACTGCTTGCACAGCCTGTGCTTACAGTATTTGCTCGTACATCACATTACATTAGTCATTACAGTGGCTAGTGAGCAGGAAGGGCCGCATCAACTCATGATTCATGAGAACTCAAATGCAGATTTGTGACAACAGTACTTTCACCATTTTGTGCATAATTCAAAACGTCTAAAAAATTTCTATAACATCAATACATTTATTTTGTTACTGAGATTTAATAACTCATCTGAGAAATTGGGACTGCAGTTTGCCTTTAACTATGGGAGAAGACCCATCTTTATAATGTACAGTATGGGAAGAGATTGTTTCACCCACTCAGACTTAGTTTTCGGTTCTAAACCTTGGCAGTTAAATGTTTTCTAATATCTGTTCAAATTTTTTATTTTAAACGAAAAAAAATGTTTAAGTATAATATAAAATACCAACAGTGTCATCCCTGTTTGTTTCCAATAAAAACTTGGAAACCCTCCATTAAATCTCTCCTTAGCCTTCTTTTCTTGAATGAGAAGATTGCTATTCTTTCAGTCTGCCTCATAGCTGATCTCCCTGAACCCTGGATTAAGTCTTATGCTCTTCACTGAAAAATCCTTTTCTATGCTCTTTATTGTGTATCCAAGCAATACTTTACTGTGAGTGCTTTCTGCATGTTTTATGCTGTGATTTCTGACTGTCATCTATAATTATTTGAACTTGTTTCATGTTGAAAAACTGTGCTCTGAGTAACTTGACACAAAGCAAATGCAAATAGTGAAAAAGCTAGCACTTTCAAGTCTGTTAAAGCAGGCAATTTATATGGATAATGTAGAGGAGCTAGAGATGAAATATTGAAAGAAAACAGCTTTTAGAAGATATTTCTTTTAAAATTCCAATTAAACCAACTTGTATTCACTCAGTTTCAGTGTTATAAAATTGGACAACACAAGCATCAACAGACTAGATTATTTTACATAAAATACACAAACTCAGTACACTGTTCTACAGTACAGCACTCCCACGTCTTGTTTGCCATGCACTGTTTGGTTATTTGATGTTATGTTTTATTTTGAACACTGTGATGGGGTACATAGTGTACCTATCCAGTGTACCAGTATAGTGTATATCTCATACCACAGTATATACAGTACAGTATAGTGTACATACTGTGCACTATAGAGTGTTTTGCCATCAGACCTAGACAAGGTAAGCTTTAAAATGAAGATATGCATGTACCTGTTTCAGAAGTTTTGTGTTGTTCAAATACAGCAACAAACTGGGAAATGAAAACCAAATGGACTTATAAATAGGACTGTTTGTTTTGTATCTTACACCCAACTTCACTATAGGCCAAGGCACTCAGGCTCACAGCCAAAAATATAGCCTGAGAAGCATTAGCCATCCTGCATCCTTAGTGCCCTCTTGTGTTCTGGAGGGGAGGTGGTCTGTCATTTCTACCACTGTGGAGCCATTTGAGCATAAATCTATTTGTGTAAAAATGTTTAGGAAAATATAAAATTATTTTGTGGTCATTTCTGTGGGAAGAAAGGGCTGTTCTTTGTATAGTATCATTTTATTACCTTGTATGTGAAGGAGCAAGACAAGCCTCTCCTTCACAGTAGTAACAAGGTGGAAAGGAGTTTCCAAAATAAAAACTTGGCTCACAGCCCAGATAGGGTATCCTCCTGCAGATCTCTGAAAAGGTAACTGTTCTGGTGTTCTTCCATCATACTTTTCCATGTGTTTTAGTAATAAAACTGCTCCTGATTTTTGGCAGAAGACCTATGTCCTTGGGGATATTTATGCACCAGGCCCAAGAACCCTGCTTTTCAAAAGGGTTCTGGTGACATTATTAAATAAGTACATGTACAGTACATCTGTACCATTCTGCTACAAATTGTTTGTATCTGCAGTAACAAACAATTTTGATGGTTAAGATTGTGATTATTCATGAACCGATAATCCGTCTTCCAACATTCTTTTATGATCATGGACTAATATCATGAAATATTTTATTTCTCAAACAGGTTGTGTACTAAAAGTAATATATTGCACTTATCAAACTAATATTGTGTAATATACAGCACATTTTCTACAATATTGTTCTTCAAACATAGTTATTTGTGTTTTTACACTTTGCTTTTTAAAATATTTTTGTACAGTAAACACATTGCAAACACTAAAAACATCTACAGTGCACAACACCCCAATCAAAATGTAGTACAATAATGTACGGAAATAAGCTACTAAGAAAAATTTGATGTGATTATCCCACGTTTTTTCAAATCCAGCTACCCCTTCTCCCTTAGGGTGTCTGATAATCGATGATCTACTGTAATTCAAATCCATCATATTGGAAATTGGCCTTTCATTTATTTACAGCTTTGTGTCTGGCAATAAGCCATGTCTGCTGTACTTTGTAGAGACCTCCTGGGTGCCACATGAAGATCTAACTGAATTCATGCAGGAATGACTAAACATCAAACAGTCTTAAAGTGTTCTGAAACATATTGGTGAAAAAAACTGTTCATTTTCTGATCTTAGGTTTCCTTGAGAGTCTGTAACACTCTAGTGTGTCAATTGGTCTTTTTCCATATGACTTGTCATATGTTGCTGAAATTGATTTACACATTTTCTCTCAAATAATTCAGAGTTGTGTTTTCCTGTAGACAACTGTTGTTTCGGTGACACCTGTCTTCCTGTTCTGTCTTCTTTTCAGATAAAATTTTGGCAAGTGCAGTTAGACAGACATCGATTAAAAATGTCTAAAGTTGCAGAAAGGTAAGACATGCTTACTTCATAATCTATATTCTGTGTATACACAGCACTGGATATGCATCTGCCATATGAATTCTGTTGTAGCAGATCTGTGTAGTCATCACACTACAGACAGGGTAAACAAAGCCAAGACAGCAGTGGGACCATTTCATAAAGAATGTCCCACAGATGCCATTTCAAACTCTCGTTGCCATGCAGTCTGTTTATCAAGCAAAACAAAAACAGCTCTATGAAGCTTGAACTCTTCTGGAAAAAAGTCCTAATGCAAAAAAAAATAATTAGTTGAGAATAAAACATAGCCAAGGAGTTATCTGAGCTCTGGTCACGGTGGCTTCTGCTGCTTTCTCTGCAACCTGAGCCAGAGCTCCTCGGGAGGAGACGCTTACTGTAGGTAATCCGGCCCACACCTGCAGCAGCTCTGGGGTCCGTGAGCGCAGCTTGACAGCCAGGTGTGTGCTGGTAAGAATGGCTGCCACACCCAGGTAGCGACTACCTACAGAATCAATCTGTCTGCCCCCGGGTTTATTTACAGTAGCTGTACAAGACCCTTAACCTGAGAAACATGTCACATCAATTCCTAAAAAAACACGAATCAACAAATTAATTTAAACTCAATGCATATGGGAATGATAAGGACATTTGTAAGTGTACAGTATGTAAGCACGCAGTGCATATACAGAAGTTGTGTATGTGACGTGATTCAAAATGTCTTTGGTGAATAACCAGTCAAATGTCCATTAATGTGCAAAAATGATAACATCTGAATTTTTTATTCTGATATAAAAACAATAAATTAGATCAAAAAAGGCCATTTTCTTCTGCATTGTGTTGATTATTTTGTTGGAGATTGATAGCCAAATTTGATGCTTCAGTATTTGCAGTGTTAACATCTGTGAGAGTATCTTTTTACAACAAAGTTTCTCTTCAGTTTATTAGGCTACACAGAACAATACATTGAATATGACCCATTTCTCACACCACCTGATCCCTCAAATCCCTGGATGTCGGATGACACCACATTGTGGGAGCTGGAAGCAAGGTTCGTAGCAGAACATTCCCTTCCATTCTCATTCTTTCCAGTAAGTTATTTCGTGTTTGTCATTATCTACTGCAGGACCCTGGTTCTGGAACACCCATGTGTCTTCCAGTTCATCTTCCAGTTTAGGTGTCAATCTGAAGCTGATTTATTTATTTAACTGAACTTCTTGCTTGAGTATTATTCTGTGATCATTCTTTGGTTTCAAAAACACTATGTAGTAATTTTTGAAAGAATAAATAACTACTAGTAAAACATGTACTAAGTAACATTGTGCAGTTCTTCTGAAAGCAAAAAAAGATCTTAACACTTAGCTACAGAGAATTACCCTTATTCAGAGTTCTAAACAAAAACTAGAAGTTGCAGGAGTCTTCCAAGATGAGTGCTGAAAACCACTGACCTAGGAGATGTTAGAGAGCTTGTAAGAGATGTTGGAAATCATCTTGTAAGAGGGATGCTCACACCCTTAGAAGGCTCCATGGCCAAAATGTGTTTTCTTTCTTCTCTTTTCAGCATGGAATAAACCTATTACTTGTTCCATTATAAATAGAATGTGTTAATGGCAATAAGAAATTTAAAGTGCAAAATGATTTTCAGTGTCCTTAAACGTACTGTATGTTTAATGAATGAGACATCTGTGAAAGCTGTTCATCACTCTGAACTAGGTACCTAATTCTATTTGCAATCACTTACACATGGGACTTGTAAAAATTAGATTTTTGATCTTTGCTCCCAGAAGCCTATTAACCTTTAACACTTCCCAGAACCCTAGTTTTTAAAACAAAAAACTATCTTCTTCAGTAGTCATATTCAATCTTTAATATCCCCTTAGGCCCCCACACATTATTTTCAGCTAGCGGAAACACAGAAAAAACAGATGTTATGATACTGTTTGTACAATCCCCAACCACTTTTAAATCTGGAAAGTATTGGAATACAGACAAAAGGCAAAGAAAAAGATTATGTTCCAAAATTATATGAGTATTGTTCATCATTGTAAATGAAGCATCAAAGCTTTATTCTAAGGTTGCTGCTGGAAGAGGTGTTAGTGGAGCCAGTAGGGGGCGCTCACCCTGTGGTCTGTGTGGGTCCTAATGCCTCAGTATAGTGACTATATGCTTTATACAATATTTATAAAAAGGTGCCATCCTTTGGATGAGACGTACTGTAAAACCGAGGTTCTGACTCTCCGTGTGTCATTTAAAATCCCAGGGCGTTTCTAGAAAAGAGTAGGGGAGCGAACCCAGTGTCCTGGCCAAATTTCCTCTTGGCCTTTACCAGTCATGGCCTCCTAATAACCCCTATTTATGAAGTGGCTTCATCACTCTGTTCTCCTCCCCACTGAGAGCTGGTGTGTGGGGAGTGTACTGGCGCACTGTGTCTGCCGTCATGTCATCCAGGTGGGGCTGAACACTGGTGGTGGTGGAGGGGATCCCCATTACCTGTAAAGCGCTTTGAGTGGAGTGTCCAGAAAAGCGCTATCTAAGTGTATGAATGAATTGTTCTGATTCCTGTGCTGTAACTGCCGTTCACGCGCCGTGTGTGTCTTTACAGTAAGGAGCCAGGCCAGCAGCGGGTGAAGCGATGGGGCTTTGGCATCAATGAGGTGTTGAAAGACCCAGTGGGGAGGGAGCAGTTCCTCAAGTTCCTGGAATCAGAGTTCAGCTCTGAAAACCTGAGGTACTGTCATGGAAATATAACTATCAAGGAAGCCGCAAGAGAGAGTTCTCACCTGAGTAAGGTCTTTATTTCAATATTGCAATATTGGGAGCCCTGCTG